AAAAAAAAAAAAGTAACCATCAATTGATTCCACTAGAAAAGAATGTTGAAGGGCGTGGATTTGAGCCATGGAATCTATGCTCAAGAACCTTCTGGAATAATCTTCCATAGTGCCCAGAAAAGGAAGGTGCACACGGCAGGCTCCCCACATTGCTTACCAGGCTCGTCTTATTCCCAGTCCTGAGAGCATCACCAGCCAGCTTCTCTGATTGTTCCACCAGGCTCTGAATGTCAGAATGGACATGGGCCGCACTGGTCGCATCCAGAGGCAAGTGGGTGACATTTTCAAGGGCACTATCAAATCAGCATATTTCGAGAAGAAAAACAAAGTCAAATTTGTGGATTCACTCACAAAAATGAAAAGCGCTTGCTATTCTTGAAAGCCTTCTAGTTTCTTTCTTTTGAGGAAAAAAGAGGCTGGTGGAGTGGCTCAAGTGGTAGAGCACCTGCCTATCAAGTGTGAGGACCCGAGTTCAAATCCCAGTGCTGAAGAAAAAAGAGCAAGGAAGAATAACCTGTGGATCTCACTCTATAGCTAAAGGTAATTGCTGAGAGGTGGCAGCCACATTGTCACCAAGGTAACACTCAGAATTGCTATTTAATTAACACAGAAAGGAGAGATGATTGCTGTCCCCCTTCCCCAGCCCATCACTTCCACCAGCTGTTCAGCATATTCCCTGGTTCCCTGCACATTTGGGGCACCACTGCTCGTTTGCCTTGGCTGTTATCTCCTGCATCACACTTGTGAATGCTCAGAAAGCTTTCCCTCACACACTCAGGATGCTGATCTCATCTCCTTCCAAGTTGATGAAATTCACTAGAGATTTTGCAGAAGGATCAGATAATATTTCAATCCACTGAACTTCATTCAAACAAGTGGGAAAATCACTTAGGAACTTGTCACCTGGTCCTGGTGCAATTCCACCCAGCTCTCTCTGCCAGGAAAATGAATCTGACAATTGGCACATGTTTGTCTGTGGAGTAACTCACTTTATTTTCTCCCCAAGGTTATTTATCTGGGCGATTCCTCAACCAGACATCAGCAGATATTGTCTGCTAGTATTTGATTGGCAAAATTCAGTGATTCATAAATAAAAGATGATAATGTTATCTAACCTTGCAGATCATACCAATTTGCATTTACTGCTCTGCTACTAAGCAACAGATTTGGGTCTTGCTATGAATAGAGTTCAAACATGTTTTTTTCTTTTGGGAAATGAAGGAAGATGATAGAAATAAAGTGAGAATAGAATTCTCACTCTAGGAATTGCTGCTTCTAGATGTGTGAGGACAGAAGCTGTCCTGAACACACAACATATGCAGCAGACAATCCTAACATTTTAATTAGTTTTGGTGTGTGAACTAATCTTTGATGGCAGCACTTCTCAAATGGGGAGGAATTTATTTTTCCCCTTCCACCAAACATATCCCCACCAACACACACACACACACACACACACACACACACACACACACGTTCCCAGTGTGTTTGGACTTCTCCAACAATTATTTATAAAAAATTTTAAAGAAATGAATTTACTAATTTTAATGCCCAGGATTGGGAAAATCACAGATAAGACCTAAAATCCCAGTTACCACATTTGCTTCATCTTAGAATCACCTGAGCACTTATAAACATTCACAAAACCCAGGCTACATTCCAGAGCACTTAAGTAACAATCTTGGGGGAGGACGGACAAAGGACAAAGACATCAATATTTTAGAATGCCTCAGGTTAGTCCAACCTGCATTGAGTTTGGGAATCACTGGCCTGATGTTTGCTTCATGTTTTAAGGCATTTTTAACAAGGTGAGGTCATATTTAACAAATAATCCAAGTATATAAGTTAAAATAATTGTGTTACCATGGTAGACCTCCAGGCAGTAGAAAATAATCTGGGGTGGTATCTCTTGGGGCCTGGAAAAGAGACTTCCAGCACTTCTAAAGGTACAGCATGGGCAACTATATCCTCCACTCAAATCACAGACTCCAAAAAGGCAAGATCTATAGAAAAATTACAATCCTCTACAACCCACAGGCAACCAACCCAACAAGGCACTGAGGATCTGGTAAGAGCTCAACAAAACCTCATAGCTTCTATGGTTTCCATTCCTGTCCAGTTCCATTTGCAGTTTTCCATCATCGTTCATGCCAATGGCAAGCTACATTAGCAGACGTGGAAGGAAGTCTGACTTGCCACACAAAACAGAACAGGAGTCCTCATTTTTACACAAAGAAATAAAAGTGATTCAACACTGCAGTTATCATAGTCATCCTTATTCCGATCAAGGGATCACATCTCTTGAATTCCTGGCCTCACCTGACCAGAGCCCCTGCCTGTCTCTGGAGCTCAGTGGCATGATCCTCCGCTCTGTGCACAAGGTCAAGGGCTCTCCTTTTGGACATCTGCATGACCAGCTCATCGACATGGTGCCTGATTTTGGCAGCCCACAGAAGTAGCTCATCTCGGTGATGCTCCAGCTGCTACATGGGGAAATTAACTGAGTAAATATATACGTGCATCTACTGAGTGATATACGTGCATGCATATCAATGAAGTACACGATTACTCTTTGGTTTTGACTAGGAACTTACTGCTAGAGCACTTGGTGCAGCTTCTGCATGAGCAACGGCAGCATCTACCAATCCTCTTCCCTCGGCAATTAGCTCTGAGATCAGGTTTTGTTTTTCTTGGACACGCAGCTTTCCATCCTGCAGCAAAAACCACCTTTTAAGGATGCTTCATAAAAGCAAGTCAGCGACTGACTTTGTGCCTAATGCCACATGATGAAGCCAAGTAACGTGGGGCTCACTTTGTAAGAAGCTGAAAATGACTCTGTCCACACAGATGGTGTGGTTACCGGCCCTCACTGAGAAGGAGGGGTAGTAAGACTCACACTGAATTCTCTCAGGTTGGCCTTGACAGCAAGCAGGAGGTGGCTGCTCTCCTGGGTCTTGGCCTCCACTTCCTTCAGGAGCTCTTTTGCGGCCTGGAGTTCACGGCTGTGCTCTGAGAGGAGGCAGCTGGCTGACTTTGTTAACACCTCCAACTCTTCCTGTGGCTTCTGGAAATTTTTCTGAATTTCTGACAGTAAATCCTCAGCAGCCCTGAGAAATATAAATAGTTCCCACAGTAAGGAAATGAGTAACGAGGTGCTATCTCTGAACTGTTAGTGAACGACTTTTACATATTCACACTCGGTTTCTTCTTGAAATCTTAAGTGCTTCATAAGAACTTTTATTTTTGAGATGAGGTCTCGATATTTGGCCAGGCTTGCGCTGAGCTCACAATTCTCCCCTTTCAGCCTCCTGAGTCTCTGGAATTATAGTTCATACCACCATGTCAGGTATATAATCATAGCTTCTTAAGAGGGGAGTAAGGGTTTTAAGACAGGTGTTAAGTATGGCAGACTTATACTTTCTCCTTAAAAAACTATCTTTACTCACAAACTTCCTAACACATTTGAGTCATGGAATCAAGAGAAATCATGTCATTGAATCTGGACTCAGAAGATTGGAACTACCTGCTGTGTTAATGATGGAAACTGCAATAAAGCAGCTCTTGAGTGATTCGCTATGAATCTACCAGTTTATATAACTGCAGCCAGTTAGGAAATGGATTGTAAAAAAACTTTTCAGTTCAAAGTCTTTCTTTAAAAAAGATGTAATTTATACCATTAATAAAGGCAAGCTTCAGAAGCCAAAAGATCTCTTTCCCACCCTTGATAAATGTCAAATTGCTTGTTTAAATCAACTGTGAATTAATAATTACACAGAATAAAATTCCATACTACAATCCTTCCAGTGGTCAAATCTATCTCATTAATTCATTGGTTTCATTCCAGATGAACTTTGAAAATTTTCATGGAAAATGCTTTGTAAAATACTCTCAGCTTTCACAGGTCACGGGGTTTTGAGAGGACAGAAAACACTTTCCAAGCACTTACATTTGATCTGTGATCTCATTAGAGTCACATCAGGAGTGACTTGAACATAATTATGATTTTAATTATAATAAAGATGTATTATGGAACAGTCAACAGGAACTAAAGCAGAGTTCATTGATAACCCACAAGTAAACTGAATATATCTAATGTCTGGTCATGATTCTATCATTCTTTATTATTAAATCTCTAAGAAAGTTTAAGATAGTGTCACATTTCATCTATGAGATGACCTGATTCTGATGCAATGACTTGGAACAAGATTAACAACAAAACACTCTGCATGCTTCATTAGATTCTTCTGGCAAAATTTGTCGGATTAATTGAATTAACCAATGTTTCCCAAAGTACATTTCTTCACAATTCCAGTGTCCCATTAATCATTATGCAAATATCATGAGAAAAAGTCCCGAGGTGAAAGAAGCCTAGGTCTATATCCCAGGACCCTGTGACAATTTTAGTGCACTAAGAACTTTCCGAAGACTTGCAATAAAGAACCTGTCTCTCCTTAGTAGACAATGCATTTCCCAAACTTGTCTGATCATGGAACACATTTTTTTAGTGAGATGTCTCTCAATAGCCCTGGGAAACCAGTAGAGTAGAAAACAATTTGGAAACATAGCTACAAGCCACACTCCTCCTCAGTGTGCAGAAAGGAGTTAACATGGCAGCTGAGAAAGGCCACCTGGCAAGGCAAGAAGGATTGTCACTGTTCTCTAACTGATCACAGTGCCTGGATCTTACTAGCGGGACTGTTTGTGCAAGCAAGGCGGTTTATGCTGAACACCTGCTTCTCTTCTGGGAATCTGGCATTTTGGTGCAATGCTAGGTGTACCCAGCTCCCTGCAAAAACCATGGATGCTGAATCTCTAGAATTCCCTGGACAGAAACATCACACACACTGTGTCTTTGCTGTTGGGAGATAGTGTGCTTGGTGACTTCCATGGGCTTCTTCCCATGGATTCCTCCACTCTCACATCCTTTTCCTGGTCAATCTCTGCACCCTTAAAAAACATCTTGGCTATAAATTCAGTCGTATGCTACATCTTAAGTGCCCTAGAGAAACACTGAATGTAGTGGTGGTGACAGAAGCATGTGAAACTGGGACATGTGTCCAATCTGCTTACCTATGGGACTGGCAACCTCGAGCACAAACCCCAATTTTCTAATAACTATAATTAAAGATCTGATGATAAATGATTCCTAAAATAATCCACGTAGTTTGACATAGGGATTATCTATGGAAAATAGGAAAGTGGATACATTTTGAACTCTTAATTGTTTTAATAAGATTTTCTTTAGTCGTAGTTTCACTTACATATGAAAGAGAAAAGTCAGTAATCTAATTAGTAACTTTATTCTAAATAGTAACAGAAGAGCTGCAGTGACAGAGAAAGAGGCACAAGAGGACCTAGCCAGTAGGGGAGGCCATGGGCAACCTAGGGAACTGGGCAGAGAGAGGGGCTGACCCTGCCTTCCCCACTTCACATTCAGGAAATTAACTTTTCCTGACAGGACTAGGAGCTACTAGTTGGTAAAAAGGCTCTATTGCTCTTTGGGCCCCTAGTTCCTGGCACCATGGTTGCCACATGGGGCTCTACTTATTCTCTAAGTGAATGAACAAACTGACCATGAGAGGATGGAGGGAAGGGACAGCCCCACAAGGTGACTTCCAAGGACCTCCAGAGCAGGCCTGGGAATCTCCTTCCCCAACAAGCTTAACAGGTCAGGGGTTCTGCCCTTCCTGGGAAGGTGGCCCAGATGGCTCCTGACATAGCATAAAAGGTGAAGGGTGACATGCACCCTCACATGGGAGGGGTGCTCTGTACACTGTCTCCTGGGCTTTATCCTCCTCTCATCTCCTCCAGGGGCATTCAGTTCACAGTTCTCTCAGGGCCCCCTTCAGGCTCTGACTCACGTTCCAGTAATCAGATTACTAGTCTTATCTCTGAACCCCCTCCAGCTTCAAGCCCTTCAATTTGGTTCACATAGTGAATCAACAAACATGCCAAAAATTATGTTCAATGACAAACATTGTAGAGCTAGCCCTCTTGTGTGTTGACAAGGAAAGTATACTTTGCTTTAAAAGAAGATATTTTAGAAAATAGTTTGAAAATGCACATTGGTAATCCTCAAAAAGCAAATTCTTTGAGTAAATGATTCTAATTCTAAATATCTCCTCTGAAAAAATTAGAAATATGTATATAACATAAATATGTAAGTATTTAATATACAGAAATATAGAAAAACACAGAAAGATACCCATTACAAGATAATTTAAAATAGCAAAAAAATTACAAATAGTTTGAAAATGCTAGTAGAAAGAACAGAGCTTTGATGGAATACTATACAGTTATTTAAAACAGTCCTTAAGACATTGGTCACAAACTGGCTGGAAGACAAGTTGCATTGCTGCATCAAGTCACAGCTTTGTGAAAACACACAGAAAAAAGCCCTGTGATTGTGCAATAATTCTTTGGGACCTCTGTGTCATTTCATGTGGTGGTTTGCAATGAGGGTTGGAAAACTGAGTTCAATTATTCTGGTAGTGTCTGTCCATCAGACTTAGTTGATGCTCAGGTATCTTTCTCTTTTTTCTTTTTCTTGGCTGTACTGGTGGTTGATCTCAGGGCCTCATGTTTGCTATGCAGGCCCTCTACCACTTAAGCCATGTTCCCATCCCTTTTTTGCTTTGGTTATTTTCGTGGTAGAGTCCTGCTTTACGCCTGGGACTGGTCTAAATCTTGATCCTTCTACTTATGCTTCCCATATGACTAGGATGTCAGGCACGTACCACCACACTGGTTGAAATGGGTGGGGGTGGGTCTCACAAACTTTTTGCCTGGGCTATTCTCAAACCCAGATTCTCCTGATTTCTACCTCCCAAGTAGTAGGATTACAGCTGTGAGCAACTGCAGCCTCACAGACCGTGTTTTCTATGACAGACTGGCTTGTACTTGATCTACAGTAAACACAGTGTCCCAAGGTTCTTCTTTGTGGTAGGTGAAATGTAATTCCAGAGTCACAGAAAAAGCCAGAACCTACTGTACAAATACATAAAGATGGACTGCACCGATTGTGTTGATTACACTTTGTGTATTTGGAGGGGCTGGAGAACTGGGAGACCTCACATCTCTCACAATATTCGTCCCCAGTGAGCACTGTTTTCCATTATTCCTCCTTCTCCCCAGCAACCACATCCCCACCTCTCCATGGTGCTGTTGAATGGAGCTAGGAACTTACTTGAGTTCAAGGGTGGCGTTTTGGTACAACTGTGTGAAATTCCTTTTCTGTATAATTTCTAGCAAAGATGAAATGTCCTGCTGCATATTCTGAAGAGTAGAATTGGGAAGCTGGAAATCTTCATCCATGGTCCGATTTAAAGTGACTGCCTTTTCAAGGACTTCTGTGGGAAAAATTAATCATTTAATAAGTTTCTTCAAGATAGACAGTACTAAATAGAAGAACGTAGATCATTCTTTAGTGAGTTCTGCTCCATTCACCTGGACTGGGCTGGACCTCCAGGCCAGGCCAGGGAGAGCACCTGAGCATCCCGTGCACTCTGGGCCTTCCCAACAAAACACTGCTGAACTTGGGAGTCCTGGCTTACTTAATGCCAGTCTTCCTCAGGTTCCACAAACTCCCACAAAAGAGGGGACTGTGCTCATCTCAGCCTTTCCTTGAACCTGGAGCAGATACAGAAGCTTCTCAGTAAGTATTTTCTACATGAATAAACCACTGACACTCGATACTACTCTTTAATAAAGGATTTTTCCTAATCTTTTACTTCCTTTTTGCTCTTTCAGGTATGCTTTGCATTGAAATCTATACTTCTTAAGCCCTCACATTATCACCCCAAAAGGACTGCAACAGCATGTTTCTGGTAGCCAGAAAACTGAAAACAGCACACTTAAAGCCATATGAGGCTCAACTGCAGGGTGGCTGAAGTACTGCAATAGGGTGGATGAACTCTCGCACCAAACTGAAGCCCCAAATCCTGTCAGCTTCCTGTGCTGAGCAACTTTCCTGTGATGGGAGTTAAGAATTAGAATCCAAGTGTAATGTATAAGATATCACAGAACTAAGAAAGCAAACATGCATTGTTTAAAAGAGAAAACTATCAGCAAAAGACCACAGCCTGGAATATTCCAGTCCTTTTGGTCTAGGAAGCCTAGTGCAAGTCACAGATATCTGTTCGTAAGTTTAATAAAGTGACGGTGACACTTCTTACTGAATAAGTAGAGTCCTCAGATGTGACCCTGCACACGCTACCTTTGACATTTATCTGAAGTCGCTCAAGGAACTTGGCCAGGTCTTGACTCTCGTTGAGAATTCTCTCCGTTGCTGTATTTACCCGTCGGCTACTTGCTAACACTCTAGTGAGCTGACAGAAAAACAGTCTTGGGTTAGTGCGACTCTAAATAAAATGCAAGCTGCAGTATTCCAACTGATGCCTCTTTTAAGTCATAAAATATATCCCAAAATATACAGTAAAGATGTATACGATCATGTAAACCAAGGTTTACATTACCAACTTCTGGGTTGGAAGTCAATTAAGTAGTTAATGAAATAATTTACTACTTATTAGCATGAGAAAGGATTTTGCATATATATGTGTGTGTATATTTGATGCAATTATATGACGTGTGTATATGCATGTATAATACACATATATGTACATATATAACGTGTATCTTATACACATGTATATACAATATGTATAATGCATGTATAATATGTATGTGTGTGCATATAAGTACACACACACATACACACACACATACATATATGTTCATTTTTTGAGACAGGGCCTCTATGTAGCTCAGGCTGGCCTCAAACTCACTGGGTAGCCCAGGCTCGCCTCAAACTTATGATCCTCTTGCCTCACCCTCCCTCACCCAACCCAGTACTAGGGATTGAACTCAGGGCCTCCTGCTTACGAGGCAAGCCCTCTACCACGTGACTCATTCCCTCAGCTTTTAGTTTTTTTCTCAGATAGCATCTTGTGCCTCCCCTATCTCTGCTTCCTGAGTAGCTGGGTATACAGGCAGGTACCATCACGCCTAGCCCAAGATGGCATATTTTTATAAGCAGCCTAACTGACTATCAAACCCTGGATTTTCCACGTCTATACTGTGAAGACCCTCTTTTCACTTTAGAATCCCAGGACAGCCACTGAACAATGGGGATGTGTTCTGAGAAATGCACCTTCAGGAGCTACTTCACCACTGTGCAAACATCACAGAGTATTTATGCACACCTGGGTGGTATATAAGCTATATGGTATAGCTTATTGTTCCTACGGAAAGACAAGCAAGAGACTCAGTAGACATGGGGTGAGTACAGCTGTTGGCATAGCAGTACCCTGTAATAAGGAGAAAAGTGTAGTATTGCAAATTCATTGACCAGCTCCGTAGCCATGTGTCCTCACTATCAAGTATCACGCACTAAACGTCACTGTGTGTGCTGTACTTTTAGACACTGACAGCACTGCAGGTCATTTATGTTAGCACACTACCATGAACACATGAGTAATGCCTTTTGACACAATGTTAGGATAAGGACAAGGTGACTAGACTAGCTAATTAGCATTCATCAGCTCCGTTGTAATCTTGAGATTACTGTCATATATGCAGTCCATTGTTGACTAAAACACCATTATGCAGGGCAGATAAAATGTGGAAAGTCAAATATTAATGATCTGTGTGACCTATGAGAATTTAGTCCTTAGGAGCTATGAACAAAAAGCCAGACAAATGGGTTTTTATACCTGCTTCTGCCATGGCGTAGACCTGGACATCTCTCAGTTATCTATATAACTGGGTTTGGATCAGCACGTCCCTCATGTGGCTGTTACGAGGGTGAAGTGAGCCAATGTCAGCAAAGCTGAGAGAGTAAGACTTAGCTGTGCTCGGCTGCTACTTTTATTAAGGATTTAATAATTTGTAGCTGGGCACGGTGGCTCACACCTGTAATCCTAGCTACTCATGAGGCAGCGATCAGGAGCCTGGGCAAATAGTTCCCCGACACCCTACCTCAAAAAAACCCTTCACAAAAAAGTTCTGGTGGAGCGGCTCAAGGTGTAGGCCCTGAGTTTGAGCCCCAGTATCACCACAACAAAAAAAAAGAAAAGAAAAAAAAAAAACAATTTTGTAATTTGTAAAAGAAAGGTTTTTTTTTGTAATTTCAAAGAATGTTATATAACTCATAGTGGGCCTAAAAGTGTTTTCTTATCAAGATCAAAGAGAATCTTCTTTAATGGTTAGGGAGGGTTTATTTTAATCAGCTTATCACTTCCTGCCAGATGTTTGCCTGCTGAGGTACCCATACTTAAACCCTAAAACTCTTCCCAAATCATATTAATTCTAAATTAACAGCAGCCAAGCTGGTACTCTTTTAGGGTGCATGACCATGTATGTGTATGCACGTTGAGGAATTCCTAAGTGACAAGTTACAAATATGATCACAGGCCTCCTCCCCATCTGAAAAGAGGATTACCAAAGCCCATTCATCTGGCCTGAGCTAAACCAAATAAACAGTTCCCTGCTGACATGAAGATAAGCTTACTTGGTATCCCAAGTCCTAAAATCAGAATCAGCCCAGCCTAAAGGCTGTGCATCACAGGGACAAGGCGTTCTGAGTCCCTGCTGTTGTTCTCCATCTGCCTGGTGAGTTACTGGTTCAGCAATGGCCTCTTGCTCACCAGGCAGAGGAGGAAAAAAACCTCAGCAATCTTTAACTCCACCTTCCCACTCTGGCCCAGAGAAGACAAGGGTCAGACAGCAAAGCAAGCACCCAACTCTCCTCCTCAGCAGGGGTGGCAACAGAAATTAAGTCAGGGTCCATTTCCCACTAAACCATGGAGACTGGCAGGCTGAGAACCAATCTGATGAATGCAATTCCTGGGAAAAGGAGGCTGGTCTAACCTACTCAGAACCTTCCAGACAGCCCCAAGGCAATCACTTGAGCTAGTTCTTCAGGCAAAGAATTTACCTCCTTTTGCAGACTGGTTGTTTGTTCTGCAACACCTTCAAGGTGAATTTCTGCCTGATTCTTTTGGATTTTTTCTTTTAATAAAGATTCCTAAGAAGAACAAAGGAAACATTACAAACGCGCCAAAGTAAAATGTTCCAGTTCTTAACAAAGAATCACTTAATTCTCTTTTGTTCACAGAAAGAAATTCCACTTTATTTGAAAATGTCATGTAAAAATAAAACAGTTCACATTTACTTATAACTGTCAATCATAGCTACATGAATCGGAGACTGCTGGGTTTCTTAGATAAAAGTCTGGCTTTATTTCAATATTGGAGTTATAAATTTTAACTATAATTTCTTACTAGGCTAAAATAAAAAGTATTCAATAAAGAAAAGCCTTCAGAATTGTTAACAATTAAGTGCTTAATTTATGCCAGCACTTTAGTTTCTTGTTTGATTTAAGCCTTAACAACACTATGAAGTAGTTCATTTACTGTTTGGGGGGAGATGGAGTAATTTGCCCAAGATCTCTGTGTTTGTAAATAATGACAGATCATATACTTACACTCCTAACCTCACTGAATACTTTATGTAAATATAAAAAAGTTACTTAAGGGAATGGACAAATGGTTTAAATTAGAGCAAATTATTCAAAGTTAGTCAAAATTTAAATCAGGCATTTACTTCACTTGATAAATTCAAGATATAGTTACATTCCTGGCAGAAAACAGAATTTATTGATTGTCTATGTAGTGGTTGGGAAAAAATTAAGTATTTCTTCCTTTTGTTTTTTTAGAATTTTTTAATGGATGCAGAAGTTTTCACCTTTCAAAAACACTTTTTGCTATTTGAGAAAAATAACATAAAAACATCTCTTGGGGTCTTCAATCTTTCTTTGTTACAATTGTAGAGAAAGGACTATGGTAAAGAAGAATAGATCATAAAACCAGCCCCTCCCAACACACACTCAGGCCTGAGCACACAAAAATGCTGTCATCTACAGAAAGTCATTTAGGAAAGATGATCCTTTTTATTACCATCTGACCTGGTGAACAGATGATCTCATAAGGGATAAAGCATAATTTAAGAGTTGTATTTTTTCCAATTAGAATTAAAGTGTCAGAAAAGGATGGGACCAAGTCAATTTCTTAACTTCTCATCCTTTCTGGGCAGACCTTGATGACAAAACTTAAACCTAGCATTTACCCATTGAGACTTTTTGGATTTTTTGGGTATTACTGGAGTTTGAACTCAGGGCCTCAAACTTGTTACTCACACTTGCTACCTCACACTTAGGCCACTCTACCGGCTATTTTTTGTGTTGAGTCTCATGAATTATTTCCCCGGTCTGGCTTCAAACCAGGAACCTCCTGATCCATCTCCTGAGTAGCTAAGATTACAGGCATGAGCCAACCGTGCCTGGCAATCTGCTGAGGTTTTAGCCACCTTCTTAGGAGGAAGACTTCTGTGTAACATAATTCTAGTTAACAAGAGAAAATGTTTTGTCTTTGGTATAATCCAACCTTAAAAAAGATACTATCCAGATTTATTTCTGTATTTATATTAAGACAGTTTTCAAATACCCAAAGGCAGGCCTGAAGAGGATGGAGGGGCTGTTGTCTTATTTGAGTGCAGAACAAGGACCATGGGGCAGAGTTGCAAGGAGTGACTCCTAACCATCAGAGTCAGGGACACCAGTCCCTCAGGGACACCAGTTAGGTGTGAGATGATGAGGTCCCTGTCACTGGTCACCTTTAAGTAATGCTGAAACCTCCCAGTGGTGGATGGTAGAAGTAAGACTCCTACACTGTGTGCACATGGGGGATGCCCTGACTTTGTGTAGGGGCACAGTCAGACTGACTCTTACCACCTCCTCTGATGCTCTCTCTCTCTGAATGATACATGTGCCTATCCATCTCTGTATTCCCAGTACTTACCTGGAAATACTTAGTTTGATTTTCCAGGTTTGACAAAATCCCATAGGGGGCAGGGAAAACACCAGAGAGGTTCACAGACAGAATGGCATGAGTACCACCATCCAGGCCATCCAGCAGCACGCCCACACACTCATCGTCACAGGCTAGAAGAGAAGGAAAACAGAGAAAAAGGGAAGGTGATGCTAGGTGGCTGGCCTGTTGTCCCATGGACCTGCATGAGCCATTTGGTGGTGAGAACCTCGGTGGGCAGAGAACATGCCCACAGACCACAGCTGTTCTCCTTCTCTCTTTAGCTGTGGCTGGTGGGTATAGAAGGAAGTGCTAAGCTGATACTCTCAAGTGATCTCAGATCATCAGTGACATCTCTGGGGCCACACAAGTGCAAAGTCTCTCAGAATTTCCTCCTAAAACCCAGTCTGTTGCTTCCTCAAACAGTTTGCAGACGCTCACTCAGCGAGGACAAATGAAGGGCCATGGAGAAGACAACAGGGGTGTTTTTGCTTATAACAAACACAAGCAAAAGGGAAAAACCTCCTCAACATCATGATCGTCTTTCCTTCCTAAGGCCACCATGAGCCACTGAGAAGATATTCTAAGGTGACCATGGCTTGCACTCACTGGTAACATAAGTCAGGAAAAACAACAAAAAAGAGCTGAAGCCATAATGAAATTTGATCATAGCAGTGTCAACCAATGACGACCCCACTGTGGCATTTCTTCTCCTGTACTGTGGCTTCCACTAAAGGGAATACCAACACAGCCAAACCATGAAGTCGAAATGATCGTGCTGTACTGGGTGCCAGAGGAATAAATGCCACTCCACAGCTGCTGCAGGAGCAGTCTGCGCTCAGTAAATAACAAAATCATGATGAAATAATAAAACAAAGCAGAAAGTGTAAGAAGACTGCAGTGTCCTGCTGACCCAGTAGGGCACTGTAACCACTTCTCCCCTCACCCAGTTTTAAGCATGCAGGGGAGAAGCACTCACAAACACAGTTGCTCTCCACCAGCATGTGCCTCGGTTGACACTCCTCGCATCTGAGCCCTGTGGCCCCTGGCTTGCAGACGCATTGCCCGGATGTGCGGTCACAGTCACTGTGAACAGAGCCTTGCATGCTGCAGTCACACTTCTGACAGCTGCCACCCAGAGTTTGAGGGTGGCCATGGTAACCTGCAGAGCACCTATGAAAGGAAGAGAATTGGTACAGATGGTGCAATCAACACCAGTAGTAAATACACACGCCTGCCCCTGGCCAGGGAAGATCATCATTTCTGCTGAATGAAATACAATGCACACATTCACCTCGAGAGACTTGTTTTGGAATAGCAATGAGGTCCCACAGCAACTATGCATTTACAAATTGATAAAGACTCCCAAGTCACATTGGTAAATATGTCCCCATATTGATTACCATATGCTTGTTCAGCAGCTTACCTCTCACAGTACTGTCCTTCATAGCCCAGGAGGCAAGCATTGCAATGGAAATCACTGTCACCTTCCATGACACAAGTGGGACTGAAACTGGAAGAAAAGATTTTTTTAATTGAATTTTCAGATATTTCCCTTCAAATCTTTCTTAAGATACTTTTTCATCATGGTTAAGGTTCAGCACACTGGTCTAAAAGTTAATCAATTACATTGGACAATTAGACAAGCTTCTTAGAGTTGAAACCTGATGGGCAGAAAGAAGGAAAATAAACATGCAAGCAATGTTAATTATGCACTTCTTGTATCCAGAAGGGATTTAAGAGGCCAGTTCTGGAATGTGACAGACATGTGAGTGCTAAGTAGAAGACCTGATCTTAACGAGTCATGCAAGAAAGTTTCCCACATAAAAGAGGATCTTGCTCAGAGACTAAGGTGGTAAGAGTTGAACTGTCTATGAGCAAGCATGAAAAATAGCAGGGAGAAGGCTGAACCATTGCTGAAAAATGAAACATCATTGCCTGTAATGAGAGGCGAAGAGGACAGCCAGAGGAAAGAAAAGTCTGAGTCTGGGAGAACTTGAAAATGAATGATCTACAGTAGGGAGGGAGTCACGCAGTAGACTAGCAGAAGCAGAATGACAGACAGAGCCCTTCAAGGTTTAACAATCTACTCAGATGTTGATCTTTACAGAGTAGCTTTTGGCTCATGCCTTCCTCTTCTAGGCGCCACCTACAGACTAAGCTAGGGACCTATAAATTATTGAAACCCAACCAAACCCAATCCAACCTAACCCAGGTGGAATCAAGTCTGGATCCTTACTGGCTACTGAGATGAAATATCTAGCAAGAATTATCAGCCTCACACCAATTCTGACTTCTTTCTCCTCCTTAAATAAGGGGACAGACTTTCATGGAAACGCAAAATATGCAGAGAGTAAGACATGTGCTTTGGGGCCTATCAGATTCAGAGCACACATAGAATGCTGACATCCTCACACTCTCTTTTAGTTCTAATAATATGAGTTTGGGGGATAAACATTTTTACAGAAGAAGTAAAATGCAGTACTCATACAGCACAGCAATTACAAAGTAGAAAGGCGAAGCATCCATTTAAATATAGCCAAGTGGCCATGGATGTGGATATACACATGGAAATGAATTATTTCCCAAATGTCACCACAGTACATATTCAATTACACACTTCCATTTGTCCTGGTCCCAAAAATTCTTTACTGTTTTCTCTGTGTTTGCATGATAGCTTACTCTAGGAAATGTATCATAAAGTATGTATTCAACCCCCTATAGGTAGATATTTCATTTTATTCCCAATTTCTTATGATGATGAGCAATATAAAACACACCCACCTTTACATACATATGCAAGTATTTCTATAGAACAAACTATGGAAATGGAGTTGATGAGTCAAATTTTACATACAGATTTAATACCAAAAACAACAAAAGTTTTAGAATGCTTGACAGTTTACAAGGTAAGTGTATATAGTGCATGCATCATCAAACATCACTTACTTGGAGATAGTAAAAGAAAATTCCAACAAATACTAAAAAGCAAACTTCAGTTTAATATATCAAAAGTTGGCATTTGATCCTTTTATGTTCAATGCCTTGCCAAATAATCTAAGTGATAATAAAATGTTATCTATGAATTATAATTTCAATTTAAACCAAAGAAAATCCATTGATATCTCAATTCCCACTCAAGTCTCTAGTTCTTTTGGCATGCTGGTTAATTCTTTGCAAATATCATGAATATGAGGTAAACTCATTCTGATTTTATCACCAGTAGATTTTAGTACTTTATCAAGCACTAGCACATACAAATTCTAAGCCTATTCCCTTAAATGAAATAAGAATTGCATTCTTTTGTATCATTATTCATAATATACATAGCTGGACATATAACTGAGGGGTAAAGTTAGTCTTAAAATAATCCTACAAAGTTCTATTCTAACACCCAAGAGCAACACGGATGCTGTTTTTGAAAAGATCTTGTTCAAATTCTTATGAAAATGAATGCTGTTTCTTAAAATTGGGTCATGTCACCACATGGAGAAAATGAATACAGAGTGCTAGAGACCCTGTAAGGCGAGGCTGGGTGTGGAGCCCATGGGCAGGTTGCACCTGTGCAGGCTCACCTGGCAGGGGGGCGGTGAGGACAGGCACACGGAGAACAGTCTTGGGCCGAGCCTGTCACCTTCCCATAGTAGCCTGGAGCACACACATCACAGTGGTCACCAGCTGTGTTGTCACTGCAGTTCTGGAGTCCCACATTTGGAAAGAAGTGGAAAACAACAGAAAGGATTAGACATCATTCTTATTGCAATAGCTAAGAGCTACCATGTTCCATGTCAGCTAGCTTTTCTTTTTTAATTCTTAAGGAAGGGGCAGCATTTTGTATACCATTTTGAAAATCCTGGAACCTCTCCAGCTCTGTGGCCTTCACTCATCATAAGACTGCATTTATCTAAGACAGCCTAGACATTACTAGCCCATTCTTCTGAAGGGAAACATTCCAGACCCCTAAAAGCACCAGCTTTTAGAATCTTACAATGGGGATCTAAAATATACAGTGACCCCAAAATAATTTCAAGCCCCAGTTGGGCCTCCATGACCATGTATAGGAAGTTGAGACAGCAGAAGTGAATGGATCTATGAATCCGGGAGCAGACAACAACAGGAGACAAAAACTCAGAGTCTTAGAGCCCCACCAATCGCTTCCTGCAATAACCAAGTGAACTCCACTAACTCTGATGTCATCAGTGGGACTTATTAAAGAAGAGTACACCTATTTTTTTTTACACTAAAAGCACAAGAAATTCTTATCTTCTGATGCTAATTTCAAGCCTGTTTTTGCTCAGTTCATCACTGCTCAGCCCCAGTGTGCAGGTCTCCACATCTGAAGCAGCTGAGATGGAAAGACAACAAGAGCAAGCTCTCACAATGACTCTGCCTTTCATCCTTGGCAGTCAGAAATTATATAGAAAGAAATGTTTCAAAAAGCCATTTTGGTAAACCCTTTTCAATTAAAAAGCATTCCAGTATTTTTCTACTTAAAATTATATTCCTATTTCAGTTGACGAAAATCAACTTTACTGGGACCCACTTGGATCCTCAAAGGAATCTTTCTTTACAAGTAAAATTTGCAATCACTTAAAAACAGAAGTGATAAACACTTGTTTTCCTAACATAGCATGATGCTGACAAGAAATAATTATTAGATGAAGAGAGATGGTGGAAGCAGCTGATCAGGAGTTCCACTACTAACACCAATTCCAGCACGAAAATCTCCCTTCAACATACAATGAGTCATGGCCTTTCTGCTGCCATGAGTCTAGGGAATTGGAGATGACTGCCCAGAAGGGTGGCAGAGAAGAAGGACCTTCTGACGAGAACTGAAGCATGGCTTCTGTTGGTGTAGGAGTTGTAGAGAATGCCTGCCAACTTTTCTGGAATGTAAAGAGATTCAATGTCTCCAGACGGGGATGGTGGGCATAGTTAAGGGATAAGGGACTTCTCGCCCTTCCACATCATTCTTCTGACCAATCACTTTTTTGGTAATACCAAAAGCCCAGCAGCATGAAGCAGGGGAGAATACAAAGTCAGATCCATAAAGGTCTTGACACCCAAGCCTAGGACAGCAGGGCAGACAGAGTGCTTAGGAGACTGTGCTAAAGGGAAGCGAATTACTGTGTCAAACCACCAAAGTAATCTAATGAGGTGACGACAAGGAGGACAGGTAGGGTCCCCAGCTCAAAGAGGAAGGTAGAAATGATAAGGAGCTGTGTGGGTGGGAGGAATGCATGTGCTTAGTGTGTGGTCAAGAGTGGGAAGCAGAACTGAGAAGGCCAACAATACTCAGGCGTCGTCGTGGGGATTCAGCCCCCCCAGTTGGAGGATGTCCTACTCCCCACCCTTGGATAAAGGGGTTAGGCTCTGGCATGATGTGAAAGGTGGATGGCTACCTGGGTGGTGAATGGACCACAAAAAAAACTACTCCCTATGACCACCAGGTATACAAGGTAAGAGGAAGTAAGCCTGGACGGCTGGAGATTTGGGATCTTTGGGTATATGAAAGACAGATTGGACCAAGGAGTTTTGCAAGTTAGTTAAGATACTGCCAATTTGCACAAATAAACCAGAACTAGGCGCTTATCTCAATGGCTCCACAAAATTAAACTGTATCACCAGGTCACGACCCAAGGGCACTGGTTCCAGGACTAATCAGAGCTGCCAGAAGGTAAGTGAGCTCCCAAACAGGTGGAGGTGTGGAAATGGACCATACATAGCCACTTAGCATGGAAGCTGTGGTTCAGAGTTCATGACAGGACTCTGTCAGACTACAAGGATCACCATAACCAGAAATTCTGCATTCTAAGCCCAGACACTACTTGCTGTACAGAATGATTTTGGTGATAGTAATTGGTAAACAGTGGTAACCAGACCTGAGAAAAGGAGGAAAAACCAGAACCAAAATGTGTTCTGCTGAATGCCATGGGGTTGCAACAGAGTCATCCAAATTTAGAACCTGTGTCCAGTCTTGCAGTAGCAGGCACAGCCATTGTTGTGTACTGCAAAATTCAACTAATAGGGTCAGGTGAGGTCTCCATGGACTCCAGGTAATATCCAGGTAGCAGCTAGAAAATCACTGCCCCTGGAAAGTGACAGCAATCAATCATTGTTTACTCTACAAAGATTTTTTTTGCCATGGACTAAGATGGTCTTTCATACACTGGCATAAGCAGGCTGAGTTATTTCTACCCTACAAATCATAGACCAGCTGGTAATCTTATAATTTTGTTCTGACAGACTTGGGCCAAGAGAGACAGAGCAGGAACTGAAGACCCTATGAATGCATCATCTTGTTAAAATAGTTGGCTGCACCAAGGAAAGATGTAGCATGAAAGAACCAATCAATTTAACAGCTTACTCTATTTGCCTGAAATCAATTCTCCTTAAATCCTTGAATGAGATCTTCCCATTTTCTTCATTAGGCCATTGCTTTGCCTGGAGCATAATCTAATTAGAGGGAACCATTTTTTAATAGTGATGCAGCTATGTCATCTTTATTAAGACCAATTTACCTTGTGTGACTGAAATAACTGATTCCTCACATACCATGGAGCTGGCAAAGGTTAACAACAGTCTTTGTCATACAGAAATGTGGTACTTCTTTTCCTAACTTCACCTGCTACTACTAAGTACTCCTATCATGTAAGACT